TTTTTACAGGTCAAAATTTGAATACATCAAATTTAGTTTATTTAAGTTCATAACTGTTAGATTTATTCATTTAACAAGATATCTACCAACAAACAATGTTTTAATGGATACACAGATTTCAATCCATAATATCTTAGTGTGTGATTTGTATACAAACAAAACATTATACTCGTGGGCTACACAAAATGACCAATATGGCCACATATGACCTACAGGCCACAGATTGTTAACCCGGTTTAAACCACAATATCACACAAAAAAAAAATTCACATCATAATATAAAATAGTAAAAAACAAGTATTATGTATTCTTATATATTATTTTATTTTTATTTTTAATTTAAATAAATAAAAATATAAAAAATTATTTCTTACTCGAGTAGAAGTATTTTCTACAACTGTACTTTCTGTTAACCATATAGGCCGTTCTTTGATAACTGGACGATTATCTTGGAGGTCTTCTCCAATAGTAACTTCCATTTTAGAACTATTTGAGTCCAAATTTCGCATTTTATCAGGTCCCCATCGTTCCATACCATTAATTTGTTTATTGCCAGAAGACTGTGATGTTGCGGATTCCAGTCTAATAAAACAAAATAGGTGAAAATTGTTATAGTTGTTTTTTTATGTCAAGTATCCCAATTAAAATATAGTGCATGTACCCCAGAATACGGGTAGGTTCAGGTTCGAGAAGTTCTGGTGCAAGACGAATACCATCTAGTTCACGAAGTATTGAATAAAAAGGTTCTACAACTTCATTGAAATTAGCCAACATAACACGAGAATCTTGTTGTGGTAGAACCGAAGTATCTTCTTCAACCAACTCCCCACAAAATGTACAATGGAATTCGTTGGTTTGGAAATCAAATAACATATCAGCCTATAAAAATAAATGTTCGGGTATGCATTTAGCAAGCTCCCTAACTCAATATAGGTGCCTATGCAAAGAGCATTAATTATAGTTGACTTAGATAGTCCTACCTAACAAATTTCATTTAAAAATTACACAATTAAAAACATGAAGGTATAAAATATATTTAAACATATAAATAAGATATATAATATAGCTTGGTACATTTGTAAAAAAAATAATTCATAACAAGCATATTTGAATAAAAAATCCAAGATATGGTAAGCAGTTAAGACTTAAAATAAGTACCCCAGCAATGACACATTTGAGCAAGATTGGTTTATTAGTTTAGTTTAGTGTGTATATAATTTATTTATTGAAAGTACAAGCATTTTAACACTATGTAAATGTATGGTTTTTTCTTTTTGTTACTGTTATTGTTATTGAAATTTAAGGCCCCTTTCCCAAGTTTTACATTAAAAATTAATATTAAATACCTGCTATTCATAATAGTATGAATAGTATTTAAATAGTATTTATCTAACTGTATTATATTTAAGCTAAAATTGATAATTTGAATAATTGTATGCATACTTCTAAATCAGTAAAAGTTTTAAAACACTGAACACATTTAAAACTGGCTCGACTGGTAGCATTGCGTTCCTGGGTCTCCATTTTCTTTCGCATACAATCAAGTTTATACTTGACCATGTTCACAAAAGACTAAAAATGTATATTTGATAACATTAGCATATTTAAAATTATTCAATTCTGATAATCATACCTTATAATTTATAAAATAATAGTTGACTTTCTGTGCCTTACTATCAGCCCCAGTTTCCATTCTCAACCTAGTTTGTAAAAATTTTTCACTTCTTAAAATGGATATGCGTTGTCTAAGCATTTTTCTTTCAAATTTTAATAATTCACACATGTCATCCTCTTTCATACAAGGATTCCTAACCAGTATGTCAATTATGAGTGCATCTTCTATAGTGTAGAAACCTCTTACAACCAATCGTGCTAGACGTTTTAAGCTTGTTGGCACTTCCATAACCACTTCTCCAGCAGACATTTCTAAAACAAATATTAAGTCTTAATGAGTTAGATTAGTTTATTTTACATTGTTACTAAGACTTAAACATAAAATTATAAATTGAAATTTGGCAATTTAATTTCAAATATTTCAGTTATTTAACTCTTATATATAATTAATATTGAATATTGTAAGATTAATAAACATTGTTTGTATTTAAGTGAGTAGCTTACTGGTAGATGTTTGATTTACTTAGGTACGATTAAATTAGATTAAATATAATGATTAAGTAATTAAATTTAATTGGAATTTAGTTAAAGATTTCATCACTTTAATGTTATTTTAACGGTGTTTTAAAATCATTATATAACAAGAAAGCAAAACACAGAAAACAGGATACAGACAGTTTTTGTATTTTCAAAATTTTATTTGTTGATAAATAGAATATTGTTGATAGTAAATAATAATTGATAAGATGTTGACTACAACGCAGTAGAGCCACACATAAGGAAATTAAATTTACAGGTTGATTACAATATTGTGTATTTTTGTTTAGTGTTTTGTAATAAATGCAAAATATCCATACGCATAAAGGCGGAATGTGTATCAAATATCAATCCACCTTGCTACACATATTATTATTCGTTAGTTATTACCACGATTGTCTTTACATAATATGTTATTTTATAGTCGATTTTATCACTATCTACCTCAATATTATTTATGTTTTTATTATTTATACTAAGAAAGCTCAGAAGCACCCATGTTTTAAATTTCTAATCCTTAGATTTAAAAATTGAATATTTTTATACATTTTTAACTACAAGGTAATTTGCAAATTTTCTTGATATTGACTTATTCTATTAAAATACGAACTTCAAGTTCATGCTTTAAAAAATAAAAATCGTTCATGGTAGTGAAATATGTATCAATAATATTTAAAAATTAATATTATAACAACATAATATGAATCTTGTATTAAATTGTCAAATTTATGGAATCAACAAAAATGGTTTTATCAATATTTATAGAGGAAGAGGAACAAAATTTCAAATATCTAAAAATATGATCGAAGGAATCACAATATTTTTGTGCTCAAAAAACTCTAAGTTTCTGAGTGGGAATTCAAAAAAAAATTGAACATAAATTCACAAAAAATGTGTATGAGCGTCTGAAATTAGAATTTTGAAAACATCACGAAAATTCGTAAATTATTTTGAGTTGGAACTTCAAAAAAATTTTCTTTTTGTGTCTAAGATTTGATAAAATTGATACAAGATTCTTCATACGTTTTTTTACCTTTAACAAAAAAAAAAAATGTTTTCTGGAAAACGACATTAATTTTGTATGAACGTTTGAAGTTCTCCAACGTTTTTACGACTGAAAATTCATAGGTTAAATAACGATTTCTCATCGAACGATTGTCTCATTTAGTTGTAATTCAAAAGCAAATGCTTGACATTTTTAAAAAATGTTTATTTTATAACTTTATATAACTACATGATACAATTTTCAAAATATTTTGACTGTTTTTGTATCATTTATAGCCATTTGAAGTTTTCAATTGTTTTAAGTTTTTTTCGATAAAGATAAAGATAAAGATAAGCTTAAAAATTGTATGAACATTTTTTATGAGCATTTTCACTTATAATTCTGACAAAATTCATAAAAATCTTAAAAATGTTGCAAATTATTTTGTTGTTAAAAATGTATAAATTATTAAACTTCTAGCTAAAGATTTATTACTTAAAACAAGATTTCTTGCAAGTAGTTCATACTTAAACCAAAAATTCTGAAAAATATTTGGACCCAGTTTTTTTGATAGATATTTTTAGTTAAAATGCGGACGAAATTATAGATATTTAAGCGAACTACGAAGAATTAAGACTTTTCGTTAGTTTTTGGTAATTTAAAAATATTATTAATGGGTACATATTTTAAACCTTAATTAAAGTATATTATTATTATATTTTATGTATCACGCAATGAGAATTTCAAATGCACTTTTTTCAAACTTTGCACTGCCAAGTTCACACTTAACATTACATTTTTATTAAATTTATTCATAAACCTTAAAGCAATGTTGGAATTAGGTGAGACCCCCCCCCCCTCAAGTCATTAGTGACCGACAAAAGTATGTGGCTAATATAATTAACTTACTTTAATTTTTAAAATTATACAAATACCTTTTTTAAATTAATTTAAATGAAATACAAAAAAATTTCAATATCAACTAAGATTTTAAAATTATTTGTACATTTTAAAATACTCATAACTCATAAAATATAATAAAAAGCCTCCGTAAAGATGCCCTCTATAATAATCTTACCTTTAATTTTAATGAGGGGTCAATTCATTCTAATTTTTAAACTAACAGAGCTAAACGTGATCTGCTGAGCGTAAAATTTGATATATTATGCTTTTGCAAGACGGAAACAACACATGCGGGTATAACGTCCTCTTAAATTCTTTGATGTACTAGTATGAAAAGGATTTTGTACTTGAAAAGCATTGCCGGGGACTTCCCAAAAAATAATGCATTTTGCATTAAAGTATGGACCCTATATTGTTATAACTTATAACTTATAAACATTTAATGCACAGTGGCTGCATAGTGACCCAGTCCGTCCCTGGTCATAAGCCTTTTTAGCGTATATTATGTTTAATTGTGTAATTGAATAATTGCCGAGCTATCATAGTTACCAACTAAAAGCTAATTAAATTAGAAAAGAGATAGACGAAAGAGCGTTCGATATTATATTATAGTACCACCTTACATTTTTTTATCAAACTTGTATATATTTAATTATAAAATGTATACAATAGGTATGATATTATTTGTAATGGTTGTTGATTTACAATTTTTTTAAATGTATATATAAATTATATATTATATAGGTATGGTAATTAAATTAATCTAGTCTATAAATTGTTGATTTATAAATGCTCTAACTAAATAACATATAAAATTGACGATTACGATCTAATAATAATTATTATATATGGTTGAGTATGTTACACTTACATAAATAGTTATATTATGTTAAAAATAATTTTACAACGAGTCAAAAATTTACTGTGCGTTTTATATAATGTACAGTTCTCTTGGTTTTTGTAATTACATAAAATGTACAGGAAAAATAATTAACATGATCTTATATATGAGGTTATACTGAACAATCACCTCTAACTAATGGATAATACAAGAAGGTCATTTTGATAAATAATACCTATACATTGAAAAAATGTCCAATAAGATATTATGATCTGCAAAATCGTTGATTAAAAAATATTTATTTTAACTACACTATAATTGTATAACAATAATCAGTATATTTAACAGTACCTTGGTTAGCATACTAAAATTAGTTTTTGATTGCACCTAAATTTGTTAAAATGTATTAATATTATTGTTTATAGACTAAATTTAGTAAATTTATTACGAATTTTGCATGTGCATAACACAAGGGGTTTGTTTTATTTATATCATTTAGTAGCCTACTAATTGGTGTTAGGAATTACGTGCAAACAAATTTTGAGCAATAATAATGTAGTCAAAGGCGTCATAAACGATAATTGTTGTTTGAAATGCGGTTTTCATAATGAAACACGTAAATTATTTTTAGATGGAATATTTTTCGAAGACTTCAAGTATACAATCATCCAGCTATAACTAACTAGGTACCTATATAATATTTAAATACCAAACAAGTAGATTTTATATACCTAAGTAAAACCCGGTTGTATGCAATAACATGTAAATCGTATATAAGTGGGTCTTTTAGTTTTCTACCAGTTAAAATATCACTAGTACACTAAGTTTTTATTACAAAGAAGCTAAACTTAATACATATATAATAGTTAATATACAAAACGTTAAAAAATATGTAAAGAGTGGGGTAGATATATATCGTAGAATATAATATTTAATGGTAGGTTAGGTATGTATTATATTATATGGGTGTATGATAGAAAGATATAATATAATATTAAGTATGAAAAAGTCTTAAAAAAGAAGAAATAATTGGAATAAAATAGCCTTGTTAAACACAAACCCGCGTAAATTATATAAATATTATCATATATAGATAGGTAGTATTGTATCGTCAACGGTTATAGTTTAATATTATATTTTAGGCGTATCGTGTTGGGGCATACGTCCGGAAGCGTATTGTATTGAATTGTTTGATTTAGTCATAACTTTCAGATTCTTGTTGGACGAGCTTGAACCTCCTGGGACTCTTGACGTTCACCGACCCGCAATGGTTGTTCAATATCAAACCCCGTTTTGACAGGTATTTCTTTATGTAACGGCACACTAGTTTCTGGGGTCTCTGCTGCCATTCGTCCAACACCTCTTTGGGGTAGTGGATCTATAATTAAAAATAGGTGATTCAACAGTTGTAACAGTAATATGGAAATAAAAAATATACAAAACAAAAAGGGAAGAGAAGGCATTTTTAAATTTATTTCTGTTGGCAGGAATGTGATTAAGGTAAGCGAAGTCACAGCATTTTGGGGAGTGTAAATAATATAGCCGTTCTAATTTGTATATCTGTGTTCATCTGTTTCCAATGTGGTCATAAATATTATTACTCACTAAAATATGTTAATCAATTATGCATAGGTGCAATTAAAAAAAAAAAAATGTAATTAAGATAAACAGCTATTTGGTCTTTATATATTCCTATTATTTTTTACAAACATCAAAAAGTCAAATATGTATACACCATACATTATCCATAAAATTTTTGTTATCTATTTCTGTTCATAGATAGATTTATGAATATATATTATTAAGGTAGAAAACATAGCAGATTTAATAATCATATGCATTCAATCGGAGATCGGAAAAAAATTAAGTGGGTGTCATTATCCTATTAATATTATTTAATTTTTCAAATGGAACCTCCATTTCTACTACACCTCCGCCTTTGTAAGTACCAGAAGCTTAAACGAGAACTGCCAACATATCAATAAGATTTTACCTGATCTCCTTTTAGCCGGTCCAAAAGAGTGACACAAACCACGGCTGCTTTAATCCCCGCATGGTGCGTGAGTGCTGCGAAAGCTAAAGATTCCATCTCGATGTTCCTTACACCATTAAATTTTAACTTTTCTAAGTATTCCATTTTTTCTTCTTCGGTGAAGTCGCAAAATGCTCCGTCCATACGTCCTTGACCTACGAAAATATAATTAATATTAATCTACTTACCTATTTCACCGAGCAACATAATTATTTTACAAACAATACTTCAGTTATAAAACATTTCAGTAATTAATTTACTTTACATTTCATTAATTAAATTACTATTATTAAGTTACTGCAGTATCATTATTGTTTTAAAATGTTTTTATTAAATTTCGTCATTTCGATCCTTAAAACCAAACCTTAGGGTGAGTTTAAAAGCCCATCGAGTTTATTGAATAAAATCCAATATAAAGGAGAATCTTCACCTCAATTTTTAACTTTTAATGTTTTAACGAAAAATGAATATTTTATATTTATGGAGTATATCAGTATCAAATTATTATTCAATTTAAATTAAAAATTAGAATACTCGTACCATGAATTCTTTCAACCTTCTTAATATTCTAGATTTTTATTTTAACGACAACCTATACGATATTGAAGATATTGTTTTTATGATCATTTGGACTTTTTAGTTTTAGAGAAAAACTTTCTTGTACAGTTGTAGGTACAGTAAAAGGCTACACCAGATTTAAATAGGAATAATTATTAAATATTATGATAACATTTTGTAAATCGATAATTTTGTCAGTTACTCATCCCCAGTAACGTATCGAGGAAGGAAGGGGAGTAGGGAGTTATAACTCCTCAAAAGTTGTTAAATAATAACAAAGTTATCATTAATAAATTATTTTTAGATACATTTTGCCAAAAATTAATTTTCACCCCCTCTCCCCAAAAAAATTCTGTATATGTCCTATAGTTTCGGAGTATTGTTCAATAGGAATTAATGATTGACCACAATATATAATAATACAAGTACACACGATGTGTCAATAAATACTTCCTATGTTTAAACTTTAACGATATAAATTTAACAATTTATAGACAAAGAAAATTAACCTATAAATTAAACAAAAGAAATATTTTATAGTTATGTTAATAGCTTAAATCTATTTTTATAACATGAAACAAATATTTTACAATTCGACGATTAAAGGTTATACCTAATAATCAGCGCTCGGAATTTCATGTATTTGCATATTTCTTAGGAAATTATTCAAAATCTGATTCGATACAAATCGGTTTGATGATACATACAATCCGAGTACAAACATTTATATTGTATATTTCTGCATATTTTACCAAATGTATACGACTTTGAATTTATCAGTTATAATATTATTACCTAACCTGCACGGTCATATAATATTGTCATGGCGATATCATCCATAATCAATGGCTTTTCATAGTTTCATACAGAGGGTTCTTGGACGTCTACTGTGTAGACATATTTCTTTCCAGATAACCGAATAACACGATAGCAATAATCCCTTTACATCTGGACTCCAGAGTACGTACTCTGCAGTGGTATATGATAAAAATTAATAATATTTTGTATGATTTATAGTTTATACCTTCATAGAAGTCACTGGTGCATACGGTCTTGCCAATCACTGTAGGATACGGATCATCTGGTTCAGCTAGCGATTTTAGCTCCCACTGCAGTTTTTTATCAAGAACCGAACTTCTTTTCACAGTTTTGCCCAGAATTTGCTGCACGAGTAATATTATACAAATTGATTATTACCATACCGAGAATATCGTGCGAGAATTACTCGATATACGATTTCAACGAATATATACATTACATATAAATACATAATGTATAAATTATTTTAATATTATATTATGCAAGACTACAAGGTATAACACACTTACTAATTCCAGATGTGGTTGGAGAGTTCCATCCACAGCCTCGTCAGAAATGATCACAGTTCCGCCTTCCAGCCCAATACCACCACTTGTACCTATCCTAAAGAAAACAGGATCTACGACTTTGGCGTGGAACATCAGCTTGATGGTCTCGTGTAAAAGGATTCCCACAGAAGGCATGCCCATACCATGCTAAAAATAAGAACAGTATAAAAAAAAACCATGTTTCACCACAAAACGGTGAAATTGTTTGATTTCTGGCGATGGGAACAACAAGACAAAAATTATAGATACATAGTAAATACAGTTTTTCTATAATAATAATCAACGGTTTACTTTGATTATAATAATAATGATAATAATAATATTATACTTACGCTTATACATAAAACGGGGCCAACTTTGTACATGGAGTATCTGTACGAATATCGACTGATGTCTTGCAACGTGGTACCTGTAGGTATTTTGTACGATATTTCTTCCATCAATCGATAAGCAAATTGTTCCATACGTTTCGGCGTCCCACCCATACACACAAACTATAAAAAAAAATACAACCTATTTATTCCGATGTAAACAATCAGAGATTTCGAAAAATTATACAACATTTATGTACATCGAAAGTAATTATCAATTAAAAGATAATAATTGCGATTTGTTGGAAAAATAATATCAACAATCAATTATTGTATACTTATTAATTTATTGCTAATATTATCGTATTAATTATTACCATGTAAATATGCCTTACTTTTTACGTACAACATTTTTAATTTATTATAAGTAATCAGTTATCGATAAAGATATTAAGAATGATTAGAACTAAGGACTTTTTTTGTATAAATGTTACTTGTCCAAATGTTTTTTGTTAATTTTTATTTTCTATTCATATATTTGCTTTACCTACCTACAGCCTTTAGAGTTTAGAGGGTTACGTTTAGGCAGGTTAGATGATTTTGAAATGTTGAATTTCTGCGTTTGTATTATTATCACTATAAAACTAGAAGTATAAATTGGCCGATAAGCGATAACAATATGATATGACTCAGGTGTTTCGAATTGTCTGTTATTGATGAAGCTAATTTCCAGAGCAATGAGAACTGTTCAACTGTGATAATCTTATGTTAGTAAAATAGTTGTTTTATATAATGCGCAGCGTTTGTTTGAGATAATAATCAGTAGCGTTGCCTTAAGGCAGATTTTAATTAAAAATGTAATTTAAATATTTAATGAATATTTCAGAAATGTATAAACTAGTAAAGAGTTAAGACAACTATTATTTGTCTTAAATTAATTTTCCTATAATCGATATCATACTACAAAGATCCATACATTCATTGTTAATGTTGTGATTAATGATTATACTAGAAATTAGAAAGTTTTAATAGCCTTATGTTAGGTTTCCAAGGTAAACCAATATAGATTTCATTATAATATAAAATTAATATTGTTCAAGTTACTTAACGCATACGAATAGGATACAGTGATTCACCACAAGTTACAACTAATGGCAATACCTTTAAACCAGGACCCAATAAAAAAAATATCTATCTACAGTCTACACAATATAAATATACACAGTAGTATTTTAGTATTTTTTACTTCACAAAAAATAAAAATAAATATATTTTATTAAACTAGTATGAGGTATTTTAAGACCTATATATATATGTGTGTTTATAATATTTGAACATTTAAATAAAATAAAACAAAAGACATTTTTAACGTTCTGTAATAAATCCACCTATAAAATATTTATTTTTTTTTAAATTTAATTTGAAAATGTTTAATACAAGTTATAAGTATTACTTATGTGGCTATGTATATAGTATATCATATATATATATATATATATATATATTATTATATGAATGTGTACATGTGTACACCCATATAGGTATTACATTATATTTTTATCTTTTTTTTCTACAAACAATTTTTTAATTTAATTTAAATATTAATATTTCATTTAATATAAATTACTTAATAATCATTGTATGGATACACATTGCAATTTCAATTTTATAATTGCTAACAATAAAATAACAAAAAAATTAATCATTCATAACTATACCTTAACATCGCCGAACATTGCTCTTAAGTCATGTGAACCACTCCCTAGAGCCAAATGATACAATATATCTTGATCCATGAGATCTAAATGAGAGTTTCGAACCATAACAGTGCTCACATCCTCATACCTGTAATCATAACGAAATAAAAACAAACTTAGCATTTTTTTTTTTCCATTGGTGAGTAATTAATAATATTTAAATTTGTTTCCTTACAAAATGAAAAAAAAATACTTTCATACTTTATTAGGTCTTATGTGATTATATTTTGTATTCCTTTTTTTAAAATTAATGTATATATTGTTAAATAGAGGGTATATCAATGGTATCGTTTTAATAATAACATTATAACATTAAATTATACTATATTATATTACCTATGTCCTATCGCATTCTAGATTCTTCAGTTTGAAAGTCAGAAAGAAAGCTCCAAAATGTGAAAGTCAATACAGGTATAACTATGTTGTATGCGATGTAATACACGCACTACAACTGTATTAAATTTATTACCGTAATATATTAAAGTGATATACTTCAACTTTCGCTGCAATACACAATTTTTGTTTCTGCAACGCAATTTTCTTTGATCGAAATAAGTGCAGTATAAGTATATAGTTTACATAATAATAATCATATGAGCTCTTATACTCACATTATTATGCATTCAATCTCAATGCACAAGAATATACGAGCGTGTTGTTTATTTTCACACCGAGTCAAAACGGGAATTTATTATCGAGATTCATGAACACTATACCTAATAAAATATTCATTATATTGCTGTAGTAGTGTAGCCTATAAATTATATTTGAAGTATGACGCCTGTGCTGTGTGGCTATGTATTAAAGGACGTCTGTCTCACTGGCCGTCCTCATAATAAAACAAATGTTGTCCAATAAGTATGAAAACCTCCTCGATTAGTATTATTTGTTGTTGTTTACAGTAATATAATATGGACATTGGACAATATTAAAATCTACCGCCTAGAAAAGTTGTTTTAAAATGTTGCGATGATGAAGATCAGAAGATGCATTATAGGTAGGTCCTTCCATATCTCCCTACTATACCTACTATCACAACAGACACGTTGTCTTAGATCATACTGTAGACGCGTCCAAGTCTACTTTAATTCTAACCAATGGAGGGAGGGGGGAGCACGGCAAGATGGGTACATATTATTTTATTTACCTACTATTATACATAGAAGATAGAACGCTTAAGTGTTCTGCGAATTTATATAGGTAGGCCTAGCTATACCAGTTATATTGTCTGAAATGTATTTGTCATGATGAATATTGAATTACAACTACAGTAATACGTATATACGCAGTGCACAAAAAGAAGCATAATATAATATTATATCATATTAAACACGTGCAAGGTTATTGGCTCATGTTTTTATCTTTAATACTTGTTAAATTATAGATATATGTTAGTTGGTAAAAAAATATAATAAAATACTACCAAACGAAGACTGAAAATAGAATGTTGACGAAAGAACAGTTGACGCGTTAATTTTATAACTGAAGTCGTAGAAATACATTTCAATAATTTTCAATCAACGTATTTTTATTTTTTAATAAAAACGTACAGTATTATTAGTTTATTTTATGTAACTATAAATTACAATGTTATAGGTGTTTCGAGATTTCGAGAGAATTAACACTTGTTACTTGCAGCGTATTACTATATTGAAGTTCCGTTCCTTATAAAACTAGTATACCTATTTCACAGTTGAAATGGTGTGTAGTTTTTAACATAAAATATATAATAAGCTGCAAAATATACAATGGAAATGAAGAAATAACATGTTTAGTATTTCTTTTGAACAATTATTTTCGGAGGTTGACTAAAGCAAATCAATAATACAATAATACAGTTTTCCCTTGTGCATAAAACTTGAGAACTCAGAAACATTCAAATAGGATCTAACAAAATCATTTCAATATTTGTCTGGTACATGGAAAAAATTATTAATAAACTGAAAATTGTTTTTAGTTTTTTTTAAATAATCAATTTGATACTCGGGTACGTATACCATACCAAGTGGCAAGTATACTTGAGAAAAGTTTGTAGGTTTTAAATATTATATTATATTTTTTTGTAAAGCCATGAGTATTTCTAATGTAGATAGTACTATTTATATTATGGCGAATTTTCGTGGACACATTTAGGTAGTAATAATGCTTATAAAATATAAAGTTATAATATTTATATCACATATTCACATAACGTCTATATATTGAAATGTTTTGGACAAAATAGTAAATATTTTACGGAAAGTGTATTGTCAATATCACTAGTTTCCAATTTTATTGACCAGTAGAAATATATAACACATATGAATATTGAAAATTTTAAATAACCCATTTAATATATTAGCTGCATCAATATAATTCCAATGTATAGAAACTATCACATAAACTCTACATATATCGGAGCTATTTTGCGCTCCAAAAAGTTTTTTCTCAAACAAAGAAAAACTAAATGCTGCCTTGCGCTCATCAGAATTTATTTATAATATGATATAAAATATACATAATTAATAACTATAGACAAAAAAATATATACTCATATATTATACTTTTTGAAAGAGAATATTTAATATAGCTAGGTACCTACATTAACTTGCATATTATGTCATACAAAGTTTAAAACTACAGCCTTTCTGTTACTTATTTATATATTACGCTTACAATTAATGACTGAAATATTAACCACAATCAGTTAATAACACTGTAATGCTGTATTACACTGTATAGATTATATTAAAAGCTAATTAATAGTCTAACTTCTCACACATTAATTTTTAGGATATTATGATTTCCTTTCATTGAATAATCTGGCAAGTCTGGTTGTTTGATAAAATATTATATTATATGATAGCAACATAGGATTACTTAATTAAAATCGCCCAAATGCTTATAGGATCAGTTTCATAATAAAATGGAATGGGCACAGATAAACTTCCGCAAAGCATAATAACCACCTAAGCTGGCATATTATGTTATTATTAAACTATAGTTACGTACTTACGTGAAGTTCGGTACTCAATTAATATGTTTATAATTTTATATAATAGTAAATGTGTGTATGCTTTGTATAGGTACCTGCACGATAATAATTTTCTAATACAATGTGTACCATAAACATATGTGTAGTTACTAGTTACTAAATTATAGTAATTAATTATTATTGACCTTTGGTGGTAAATCACTATTTGAGTGAAAATTTGGTGCATTATTTTTAGTCAAGACCCCGGAAACTTTCACACTATTGATTTTTACTCTCCGTTGTTGTATTATTTTGTTATTCGTTTCTATGTTGTCTGCAGACATCAAAGGTTAAAAACATCTTACATTTGTTGTGTAAGATTTTAATAAAAGTACTTAAAAACAAATAAATTCATTATTACGTCAACTTTTTGTACTTTGTTTAAAAAGTTTAAGAAAAAATATTTATCTTTTATAGATTTTTAAAATAATTTTTTGATCATTTTTATACTGAAAAATCTGAAATGCACTTTTTACAACAACATTCCTTACGAGGTACCTAATAATTCTATGTAATTTTCAATTTTGAAAATAATTCAATATTTATGTAACATTTCAATCATCACACACCAATCATAGTATTATTAAAATAAACGTTTTTTTCTTTAAACTATATTGGTTTTTAAACAATAAACCACACATAACGAGTATTAAAATATTACAGTATAGATAGTTGTTGTGAACATTTTTATTTTTCCGAAAACCGTTCAAACTAAAATGTTAATATCCTAGGCGCCTAATTGAAATATAATAAAAGCAAATTATTACCTATGTGGCTATGTGTACCTTAACATTAAGTATTAAAAAAACATTAAGTAACCTATTATTTGGTTTAAAAAAAAAATGAGAAATGTTAATGTTTACGTATAGATAATAGATATACAACAATTATAATGTAATCGTATCCGTACTTATATATATTAATAAATTGTTCTGATTTTATATTGTCATTAAAAATGAATATAGTCACGGAACACTCAAAACAGTTACGAATATGTATACATTATTCGGGACAATTCGCTTTATGATAATATTATTATTTATTATTATGTCAAGTGCGAGAACATAACTCTTCAGTAAGGTAAACAACTGTATTAAAGGTATATTAAATTAGTATGCATGTAACATAAACAATGCGATTATACGATCACGAACTCGTTGCTATTAGAGATGATACATTTGTCTATATAATATATAATAATATATACTATGGTTTATGTTGTATAAGGCTCGTAGGTTCAAATTTAATATTACATTATCTTATATGTATAATATTGTAACGTCACACTTACTCATCGTTCTCCTCCTGAAAGAAAGACATTGCGAGTCTTTGGTCCGGCGCAAACGAATTTAATATATTATAATAAATAAAGTTATTATTTTATTTGGTATGTGTAGCGTAGCTAAGGTTTTCTTCTCGGCGACAATCGTCTGATACTGTGTGACGACGCGTAAACTATACGCCACCGATTACACTAATATTCCTTCGGGAGACGAGTGGGCGCGAATACTGAAAGGACTCGAAGAACACTGTACGGTGGTGGAACAAAAAAAATTCGCCCGAACCGTAATGCTTAACAATATATATATATATATATCAACAGTTGCACGCGCTTGCGGTACCCGCTATTCCAATGAACACTGGACGTGCGGCGTTAAGGAGTGTGTGTGCGAGTGTGCGAGTGTGCTGTTTGTGTGTGTGTGTTGTTTGTGTACGTTTGTGTATGTGTATATGAGCATGTGTGTGTGTACGATCCGACCGAGGCGCATGCCCATCGTCGTTCGCCAGCTCGGCGGCCGACGTCGTCACCGTAAAACGCCGCCGATCGATGCCATCGCAGTACTATATACATACGTATTATTATATGTAACATATATACACATACAGGGTGATTCACCGACCGTGTTTACCCCTCTTTTATCCCTTAACAACGCATTCATTCAAATTACGATTCTTGGAATTTTTTCGAACACCTATACACATAAAGACCATGGCTCAGATTTTTTTTAACGTTTAAGTTCCGTCTTAACTGTAATTTGTGAGCAAATGTTGATTCATCCAATTTTAAATCCTAACTACAGGTATTAGTTTCTGAATTATTGAATTTTATGTACTTTAGATAATAATCCTTATAATAATGGTTTTACATACCAAGTATAATATGTTATAATTAATTATTACATATAATATGTTCAAAACATCATAGCCCCCATAATATATGATCTTTAAACCTATTATCATAGGCAATATCCTAAGTACGTACAACTATAAATAATTCAGAAAGTAACTCATTCAAAATTCGACTCATGTTTATCATCATTAAAAAAGAAACATCTGCATAACGATTTGTAATAAAAAAGGTAGTACAGAAAAATAGATTGATGTTCATTTGAAAAAAATAAGTTCCTACCTCTAAAGGTGAAAAGACAATACTTAAATTACTATCTAAGTTGATAGTTTAAAATGTTATCGTAAGTTTTTTTTTTTAATTCTAAAAATCAGAATTTGAATACATTCATTATTATTTTTAAAAAAAATGGGGGTGAGCAAGCCTGGCGAATCACTCTGTATATAATATATATCACAATGCCGCTATGTGTGTGCATCTATCTCATGCTCTTTCTCACTCTTTTGTGTCGACGACGACAATAGTAATAAATATTGAGAAAATATTTTATTTTATTCTCTCTAAATTCATTCTCACCACTCACCAGTCGTATATTTATTAGACTGATGCGTGTCAGTGTCTTATAACATGTCTTATAGTTGACGTACTGTATATGCACGACCGCTGCAGCACGCCGTCGAAGAGTGTGGTGATAATAATATTAGTAATCATAATAATGTAAACGAATTGTGTTTACGAGTACTATACTATTTATGAATCTCTGCATGTTTTTTTGCTATTATTATATTTTACCGAGTTGTATCAACAAATATGATTGACTAGATCGATTATAAAGATACGCTCTATACCCCTTCATATTATTGTATACAGACACACCCTGTTCATTATATACGCCCTGTACTTGCATAATAGCATACCAGTTAACAGCAAGTATAGTAAATAGTAAGTGTTGTTCCCCAGACGCTTGTGTTTATACTTCATACTCAGAGAACACGCGTGGTCATTTCATAAATTGAGTGGCGAATTTAATGGCCGGTAGGTGAAGTGATGGTGTTAATTAAATACTCTTGTAATTAAGTATTGCGCGAAAATTAAGGCAATACAGACTTTCATATAGTGATTTTTGCACCGTTTACAAGTATTATAGTTATCTATATTATAGTGACACAGTGATGGTGGATGTTTTTGAGGACGTTTTGTGGGGTTCTGAGCAAAGCCATTTAGATTTTATGACGCGTTTCGTTTATACATTTAGGGGTAGCCATAAAGCTTAACGCTACAGATTGGACTGATTCGAAGGAAAAACGCGTTAAATGCACGCGGTCTTGTTATAGATTTATGAAAAGCAGTAGTCTCTGCATGCCAATCCCTATTCCACAGACGATATTCATCTGGCTCTACTATACTGGCTTGGATGACATTGCGGTGGTATAGACATGCTTTTTTAACGGCGAAAGTGGGGGTGGGAGAGTAAATTATGGTATAAATGTATAATAACCCTAAACCTTAATATAGGTATTGCTTTGATGTAAATAGAGAAACAAGAAACCCAGCTTTTAATGATTGTACTAATTGATGTGATATTCATGGTTATCATGCAAGGTTTAAAGAGTAAAATATAAAATTTATAATAAGCTACTTATAGGCACCTGACCACCCCCCCCCCCCAAATCCATCTGAAACGCCATCGCACAGTACTGTACAAATAATAAAATATAAACATAACATAGTACCTATACATTTCAAGTATACCTCGTCATTCAACAGACTACTGAATGGATATGTTAAAGTTAAATTTAATTCAAAAACAAAATATCATTAAATACGAAAAGCGATTTTAAACGGAGACAGTCCATAATTAAGCCTATGTTTATAATACATATTTTTTATTTATATTACTATAATTTTATTGATATAAAATTCTGTTAATAATACGATAATTTTTTTTCCAAAAATATCTCATACATGTATTACATTAATTATGTATAGCAAATAATAATATACGCAATTATAAGTAGTTTGAATTAAATCGAAACAACTATAATTGTTAGGTATTTATAGAATATTGTTCGATTAAATTTCCGATTTCGTCAAGTTTTGTAATTTTGTCAATACAAGCGTATTTTGCATACACCTATATTTGCGATTTTTTTGAGTTTCTATAAGAAACAATACTTATGAGAAACTTTGTATTACATTTTCAAGTTTTTTGTCAAAAAAAAGATGTTTTTTTATCAACATCAAATATAGAAACACTAAAAATATTCAAAAATTTTAAATTTCACACAAATTAACATATTAGTCTCGAATATCAATATTTTGAAAACTTCGGTGTGTTTAAAAAATGTACAGGTAATAGGTTATTATTTATTAATTATTACTATATGTTATACGCGTACGATTCAAGTCAGGTTATCTTGATGACCCCTGTAGGCTGAAGTTCTAAAATGGTTCGTATATACTTTTTTTCTTTCTAAATATCGAGCTCTTTCTCATACACCATCATAATAATTAATAATAATAATAATAACATATGACTATACATATAAATTGTATTACTGCTCATCCGTTACACTTCTACCTCTCATTCAGTGTTCACTTCTATATAGTTCTATCTCTCTCTTCATCAATCTCTCGTAAACGTTTAAAATCGAAAAAAATGTATAATGTAATAATGTTTACTACATATACGCAGCTGCTGCAGACGGATGCTGCTAATGAAAATGAACAGCGTCTACGCATCTTATATTGTACATAAATATATCGTACAAGAAACTGAAAGCAACATAATAAATTGTTTGTCACCCTGCTATGTAAGCCATTGTGCAGTGAATGGGCGAGTGCCTTATATATAGTAGAAGACGTTTTTATGACAGTCAGAAATTACGGTACACTGATTACGAATAATCGAAATTAAAATTAAATTCGACCATTTTATATATATTATATATATTGCGAATAGTGATAATATCTTGGAATATTCTTTAGAACTTTTTTTATTTTAAATCGTTAATTGATTCATTTTTAATTTGTACATACTTATTCGTATAATGTCATATTGTACACTGTTTAGTCGTTGTATATAATATAAATAAATTATTAATAATAATAAATTGCATGCCTGCATGTAGGCTATAATCTACATAACACTTAGTAAAATACGAAAAATGACGTATTAAAGTATAAAGTCATCAATTTAGGCTATCTTGATTTTTTTTCGTTAAGCGTTTTCGCATTTAAACGTTTGGCATATTTCCAATGATACTCTTGTGACGTTTTTTTTTTTATAAATACTAATGATTGACTAAACTGTCGAGACTATAGACGTTCTCCTATATTTTATTTGGCAAATAATATCTATTTACCACGCAGTTTTTCACAAGTCAATTTTTCTTTTACTCCATTGATAAATGACACTACTAAAAGATACATTATAAAGGCGCATATTGCATTATTATATTATTGTATATGGCATATTATTACTATTACCTAATGATTTTTTACCTTCTTAATGATGTATGCATGACATTTTTTTTGAAAAATTAACGCAGTAATATAATCGCATAATATCATATTATTAATTTAATAAAATAGACATTTAAATAGTTTGATTAATGTTTATATTTTATAGATCCATTTTATACTCCATATATTATATACATATATTGAGTACTTATATGATGATTATTTAGTGACTATTTATTATATTGTTTTAACTTTTTATGAGGATTTCAGTGCACCGAATGCATGCATAGCTATGTATATATTATATATTTTATTACATTTCTTATCTCTACACTCTGTAGCATTTCATACTATGGGACTGTATCACAGCAAATACCACAGCAGCACTTTGAATCTCTCGTTTCTAACTGTATTATATATTATCACATGTACTTAATTACTGGTTATTTTGAATAAGTCGTTGGAAACATATCTAACCTGTCATTATTATTCATTTTTACTCTGCAGCAGCAGTAGAACGACGAGTAACATACCTACCCGAATCCGTAATTTCCGTAGATTTCGTCACGTGTGTAACTATTTTTCATATAATATATACTTATTGTCATAATTACAGGCATTAACAATGAGTTAAAAACTAAATCTGAAATAAATTAAAATTATAATTAAGATACTTACATGAAAACTGAGTGTAGGCCGTAGGGACTTATTATTTTTGTGACCAGCTCCTAACTGTACGAAGTTTTAAAAAAATGAGAGCATTTTTAACTTAATTAAATTTCTTATCTTTCTTTTTTTTTTCCATACCTTTTTTTCCGTTAAAAAACAAGAAACGGGTCGAAACTGTTTACCACAATACTGCCGCCCGGTCCCGTATCGCTTATTCACTAACTTCAAATGTTATATATTCCATTTTCCATAAATATCTATATAGGTATATATGTAATATGTATATTATATGTATATTGACTATTGACTTAACTAAACGAGTTTTTCTATTTAGTGAAAAATAATATTTTGCTAACGCGCATATTTATAAT